GCCTTAATTTAATTTTTACTTTTACATTTTATAAAAACGCTTAAATAAAGCCAGTTTCATATTTATAGTGCAAAACTCACATGTCCTAGTCATGCACATAAGCTAAATTATTATATTCAAATACTTTTTAATAAATGAAAACAATGTGGTAATAATAGTTGTTTACTGGGAGATTTGACTTTGACTTTTAAAAGACAAATTATTAAAAAAAATTAATGCAAATATTCTAATTTATCATTAAATTATGCATCTAATATGTTTGTATTTAATTAGACGTCACCATTGCTTATTTTAAGTTTATATTGCAAATTTTAAATTGTTTTACAAAAATCATAATCAAAAAATGAATTTGACGTCTGCAAAGATGCTAAATAAATAAAATTGTTAAAACCTTTTTTAAAAAGTATAAATTATATCTCATTCAAAAATTCAGTTCTAAGTTATTTATAATTTAATATTTTTCGTAAAAATTAGGAATAGTAAAGATGTATCTCCATTACATACACAATCTTGTTTGCAACTCAACATTTCTATATTTCTGGCATTTTTCGAATAAAATATTTTTCGTGTGGTGAAATTTATTTATGCATAATTTTTAACTAAGCAATTAATAATTTTAATATATTTTTTCTGGGTATACTGAAGCATAAAATTTCAGAAACTTTCAAAAAAATTCATTTAAAAGTATCCAAATTTAAGGACATGTTGTTTGAATGAAGAAGAGTATTTTCAACATTCACTCTGTTTCGATCGGAAAATCGATATTTGAAATGCAACATACTGCTTCACTAGAGCTTCTTTAAATGTGTCACTCTCTAGGGTTTGTCAAGAAGAAATTTCTCACAAAAAAATTTGATTCGGGTTAAGCACTGAAACATTGTTAATTTCAAAGTTAGTTTGTTTAAAAATTTTACATTGCTTTAATTTTAAAACCCTTTCAAGAAGCAATGGGGAAAAAACTGTCAATTATTTTGACAACAATTGAAACCACTAAAATTGTACTGGATTTTGTCTCCTAAATAGAGTGTTTATTAACCAAAAAATTTTAAGTTCTGAAAATCATAAATATAAAGCAGATAGCTTCAATTCGGTCATATATACGATAATCACATTTCTAGTAGCTTTTCTTGACTGAAATTTTGATTCAAATATTGCTCCTGGGAAACTCCATCTCTTAAAATTATTTTATTGCACGTAAGATAGCATTCTTAATGGTTTATCAAAACATTCTTTTGAAAATTAAACAACTACTCAGAGAAAAAAGTATAGTCCAAACTACTCGAATATTGTAACATTTGTCGTATTTCTGACTCTATGGGAACACCGAAAAGCTCGGTAATTTTTACCAAAGCGCTTTTGTAATGATTTTAAAAGACTAACTATAAGATATAGTCTTATATTATGTGATAAAATTTGGTAAATGTGGTAAAATTTGATAATTTTCTCATGATACTACAGAGCATGAAATAAAAACCATTTATGCGGCTGAAATTATTTTTGAGTTTTGTATTTTTTACTAAATGTGCGGTAATAAGAACTATAATTTTGAAAACCAGGATTTAACGTAGACCGCTACCATTTGAATGGAAAAATTACAAAATAAATTATTTAAATACCGTATATCTTGGTTTTTGTGGCCAAAATTATGCTCTTTTTTTTTAACCAGAAATTCCCTTACCAATTCTGTAATTTTACCAGATTTTTTTCCAGTATAGTATTCAATTTTTTTCATATCCTTCTTAAAGTTTACAAAATTTTCATATTAAAAAATAAATAAAATGGTGCGTGAAAAATACTATAAAAGGTATTTTCATATGGATAGCCATACAAACAATACTTGAGTGTGGTTAATTTTTGCTCATCATAGTTAAATATTTCATGTCTGTAATATTTCCCTCAATATATAATATATTTTGATGTTATATAGACTATATAAATATATGTATTAATGTAGCATAAAATACGTTTATAAAAATTTATTTTAAATAAACAGCTTGTATAAATTCATTTCATCATGAATTGTATAGTTCTATTCTTAGTTTTCCGAGCAACTATCTTTTAAAAATTTACATCCTCGCATTTAAATGTTAAAGATTTCCTTTTTTAATCAATAGTTTTCTCAAACATTTATTTAGTTTCTCAACTTTTATTAACAAATGTAATCCTTCACTCTAAATTTGCAGTAATTAAATGAATATTATAACCTATCTACTTAGTTAATTGTCACAAAAACAAGTTGATTAATGTAAGAAAAATTAATCTTGATGGAAAAAGCAAAATTTATTTTTATTTAAGGAATTGGACTTATTTGTGAGAATAAAATAGGCTTCATTTAAAGTATAATATCATAATATTTTAAAGTGCAGTTTCATAATGTAAGTAGAAAATTTTAGTTTAATTTTGCAATTTCGACTGTGTTGTTTTAAATAGTATAGAGGAGAATTCTTAACTTAAGAAACCAAAGTAAGAAATAAGAGGAAAGATATTATTGAAAAGTGCTAACTAATTCCAGCACGATGCTAATAAGGGGGTAATATTAAGGGATTACAGTTTATAAAAGAAATAATGAAAAACCGTTTCAAACTTACTTGAAAAATAAAATTGACTTCTTTTGAAAGTTACCCCTTCTTTTTAAAAGGGTAACTTGAAATTATATCCGAGAACTTCCTTTAAACTGTACTGTTTGCAAAATTAAGGATGTGAATTAATATTATATACTTATTTTTATTTGCAAAATTTTAATTGCGTTATTAAAATAGAGTAATATATAATTAAAAACTATCTTTTTTTTTCTTATTGAAAACTATCTTTTGATTGGAATTACAGAATTATGTAATTGCAATATAATTAAACTTTTATATAAATATAGCAAAGATTTGAAACTAATGTTAGCCCAAAACAAATAGATTGCTAACTTGTTGTAACAGAATATTATCACCGTTATTTTACTAACATAACGCAAGACGAAAAGAAACACCGTAAAAGTGGTTTCTCTGCATACAAACTTCTGTAACTGGAAAAACACATAACCTGCATTTTCAGAGATGCGAATAGGTATAGGATATTTTGATAAACAGGACTTCTATCATGTTTGTACTTGTAATAATTTGATAAGTGTCAAATAATAAATGATATATTGAATTGAATTTATTGTTTAACAAAGCTAAACATATTATTATTCAAAATATGTAATTTTGTTAATATCATTTTTTTAGCTTGTTCAAAATCATTTTTTGCAAAAATTTAACAATTGTTATCTAAATTATTTTAGTTTATTCATTTTTAAATTGTATTCGGAAACAGCAAGAATTATTCATCACATATAACCCAAAAGTTTGAGATCCGAATAAACCATAAAACTCATGTTTAGTGGGGAAATAATACAGATGCTTATATTCTGTATTTAACACTGAGTATGGTCAAAAATACTAGAATATGGTAAAATTTACCTTTTTTTTCTGGCTCTACGGGAACACTTAAAAAGCTTGGTTATTTTTTACTGAAGTAATTTAGTAATGATTTTGATAAAATTAAAAATAAAATATGGTTTTATAATAAGTGTGGGAAATTTTGGTAATGGTGACAAAATTTGGTAATTTTATCATGAAATCTTGGAGCATGGCATAAAAGCTATTTACTCGGTTAAATTATTTTTAATTTGTATTTTTTACTAAATGTGGGATAGTAAAAACTATTGTTTTGAAAACCAGAATTTCTGGTAAACCACTATCATATTAATTACAAAATTATCTAATATTACTTTATTAAAATTACTAAATAATGGTTACCAAATAATCTTATTTACCAAGTGAAATTTGAGTGAAGAAAAATTACCAAATGAATGGTTTTAATAACGTATATTTAGTTTTTATTAACCAGAATTATGGAGTTTTTTTTTTAACCAGAAATGTCAAAACCATACAGTACGGTAATTTTACTAGAATTTTATTTAATCCATTAAACAAGAAATTTTCTGTTTCATTTAGATTTCTAAATCTAATCAGGAATTCAATTATTCAGTCTTTCAAAATTGAAGCAAATAATTTTTTTTTTAAATTTTATTCCTTTATTTTCAATTAAAATTTAAGAAAGCTCAAGATCTCAGCAAAAAAAAAAAAGAAGAGAAAATGAAAGAGAAAAACCATAAAATAATAACTAAACCTTGAGAAGAAATTGAAAAATGCATTTGATTATTAGTCAATTATAATGCCATATTTCCAGAAAATATTTACGTTATAAAATTCATGAAACTTACACTGCATGTTACGTGCATTTATGAAATCAGCAATTTTTATAAAGATTATATTTATTATGAATGATATGAATGATCAGTTATAAAAAACTGTCACTAGCCCAAAATGTGGAGAAATTATTGATGCTCAAGTTTTATAATGTGAAAAATTTAAAGCAAATCATAACAACCTGTTGACATAATAATAATATTCATAATCTAAGTCAAATGTTTTTATATAATATAAAAGTAACTAATAAAAACACTCTTTTCCTAATGATAGCCCTCTTTTATATCTATTGGATAAGTTAAAATTTTTTCCCATAAAATAAAAATAAATTATTACAACTAACTATATAATTTCAATTATTTTCTATTTATGAGTGTCACTTAAGCACAGAATTTATAACCAGTAAAAAGAATCAAAGAAACAAATAATATTTATCAAGGAATGAAGAATATTCAATCAAATTCTTAATAGTAAGCAAATTTTTCCAATAAAAATTGAACTTTGTTTAAATTCTAGGGTATTTTTTACGTATTATAAGAAAAACCCTTTTTTAATAAATGTTTTTAATTTGCCCACGGAAGCTTTCTGAACGACATGCTTTATCGCTGTGATAAAATTAGCATGTCATTGAAATCATTGTGTCTAATCCATCCATTTATAAGAACAAAATCTGTTTCAGTTTTGCATCAGATAAATAAGTAATTGGTAACAAAAGGTTCAGCGATAATTTCGCCAAAAATTCATAAAATAATTTTTTACCTCGTTTTTTATGGTGGTCACTAGCAGAGTTAATAGAGGGCGGCCCATGCATATTGACGACTGTATTGTTGTCCAGTCTGTGATGGGTCATTGCATGTAAAGAGGAACAGACTGTTAGCGGCTGGGCTGGGACCGGAACGGGTCCCACTAAGGGTCCCATATGAGATGCCATAGTAGTCTCGTGATGTGATTGTGGTGGTAGACTCCCCACCAAGTCCTGAAGACACAAAGAGTCATTTAAAGAGTCCATTAAAAGGCTGAATGTCCACTTCGAAACCCACTTACCGCGACCATTGGATGTTGTTTACAGAGGTATGCGGCCAGATCCCTCCGACAGATACTCTGTACTAAGAAGATTGCTCCGCCCGCACTCTGCACCCCCACTACTCACCAATCAACGTTACAGATCGAGTAGCAAGTCCCGCCCATCAAGACAGCGTCACCAACCCCTATCCTCCAAATTTTCCCCTCTCCTTCGTTCAATTGCTGTTTTTCCCCCACTTTTTCCCTCTACTGTTCCTACTTTCATGCCATTACGTTCCACAGCAGTACAGAAAGCGAATTAGTGAAAAGCCGCATAAAAGGAAAAGTCGAGAAAAATTATTGCAAATAAGTTTAATTTATACGTTCATTTCGTTGGAGCAGCTTTGTAAAATTTATTTGTTTTTTTTTCCCTTCCTACTTTTTATTTTTCTGGCGATCTCTCACTCTTTCGAATAATTTTTAAGTCTTCTTCTTTTTCTTCTTTTCTTTCCGTTTCATGTTGTAACATTTACAAGCAGTTCAGAGTGAGCAGCTTAACAGGGCTTTAAATTGGGCGAATGCGGTTATGGCGAAAGAAAGAGTCGGTCAGCTTGTTATGTAACCTTTTTAGTTTCCTTCGGACACACAACGGTTTTTCTAAAAATGTTTCCCTGTTTATAGCGGAATTTCAAATCATTTCTCATCAAGGAGAAAAAACTAACATTTTATTAAACTTCATAATGTGGAAGTCAAACTATCTTTTTCATGTTCTGAAATTTTTAACTGAACACTATATAAATGCTGTTAACTCTCGTTGCAACGACTATCCCCCTTACACAAAAGTATATATTATTCCTCTAAAGTTGTATTTAATCACGATATAAAAATTTTTTCAACAGCAAATGATTTTTTAAGTGATAAACCTCTATAGAACGATTTTTCATTTTTTTCCCGTTTTTTTTTAAACAATGAAGGAAAAATCTAATCTTTAAATAACATTTATGTGTTTAAATTCCCGGAAAAAACAGTCCTTTTTTTATAACTTTTAAGCCATTTCGTTTTGCCTCGTAAAACTAATACAAATTTAACTCTGCATTCATTAAATATTATTAAAACAATTATTAATTTAGCTATGAACTGCGAAAAGGATTACTAAGCAGTTATAGTGAAGGCAAGTCTTTGCTAACTTTTCTACGCAGAAAAATTAACACCATAAAGTTCGACTTTTTTTTTCTTTTTAATCTTCGAATTTAAAAATATTTTTTTTTTCAAATGTTTTGATATTACGTATTTATTAAAAAAAATAATGTTATTTGTTTATTCAACATGAACATAATGTTATGGTATTATTATATAATGTAATGATCATAATGTTATAGTTTTGGATTTTTGAAACGGCCTGCTTAAAATTTATTTTACATTTTGCATAGAAATTACTTTAAATTTTACTTCAACAGCAAATTATCATTTGCCTTTATAAAGTGTATTTTATTTTATAATCATCGCTGAACACCTTGGAGTTACGACTACTAATGTTTAACTCGGTAGCCTTGTAATTTTGAACCCAATCCAGAAGACAAGAGAATTCCTGGATCAAGTATTGGGATAAATTTGCCTTCGTGGAAGACTTTTTTGGGTGAAACTAATCCTTATTTACGTCACATGAAGAGGAAAACCACGAAAAACTCCTACGTAGCTTGACAACAAAGGGACTCTTACCCATAATTTATATACCCCTGAGGATATTTTAAGTCAGCACTGTGGGCAGTGCAAGCCTGATGTCGAATTCGAATCAACCAGGCATTGCTGGGATTCGAGCCCGGTTCACCTCATTAGAAAGCGAACGCTCTATCCCCTGAGCCACCACGGCTTTTCGGTGTCTTTTACAGAAATTGCGATAAATTAAAAGTTTTAAATGCCAAAGCCTTCTGCTTATATATTCATGTGTTATGTACGTCATATTTCGAATGCTACTTTAATAAATAAAATAAAAAAATGAATGAATGAATAAATAAATAAGAAAACATTAGCTAAATTAAAGTTAAAATATAAATTCAATGGTCAGTAAGAATTTTCAATAAAATAGCGATATGATTAAAAGTCTATCATATCAAAAATATTAAAGAAATTTTAAAAAATATATTTATTATTTTTAAATTGTTTTAACACTTTTGTTAAAGAACTTTTATATTAGGGGGCGTTGAAAACTTTTTGACTTGCAAAGTGAGCAGAGACCTAAAATAAAGGTTGGTAATCTTGAACTAGACAAAAATGAAGGATTTAAAACCTTTTGCACTTATGAATAACATAGAGTGACATAGTGTTGTCTTATTTCTCTTTTTGAATCAATATTCATAAATATTTAAACATAAAATATTTTAAATCGAACTTTTTAACATTGTTCTATCCTAAAAATTATATTTTACTCACAAGTCTAATTCTATTGGAGAAATGTAACAAATTCTGTTTCATATTGATATAAATTTCGACAATTACTCTAAAGTAAATAAAATCATTGTCATGTCATAATTACATATTAATTAAACTAATCTACTTCAATCAAAATCCAAGAAAAATTCTCCATTCATTTGAATGTTTTACAAAAATAAAGAATTTAAATGTATCATTAGAGTTATCATTGCATCTATTCTGTTCTAAAATAAAAGAATCAACTTTAGTATGCAATGACATTTTTCTAATTGTCTAACGCTTTATGATTCTTTTTGTTATTGTTAATCAAATTAAAGAATTATAAACCTCTTTTCGTCGAATACTTAAAATTAATTTTTGATACATCAAACTTTTCAGTAGCATAATGAGATAAAATATGATAATTAGGCTCCTTTCTTTTCTTTCTTCTCTTTCATTCATTCATATAAACAACATTTCAATTCCAAATAACGATGGTGTATTGAAATTACGAATTGGAAAACAAATTTCCCATGGAAATAATTTTCCTGTATCGTATGAAAGTTATTTATTCCAACGCATGAGAAATTTAGGGGAGGAACATTCAAAGAGATATTTTAGTGGAATGAAGAAACATCTGTAAACGTTTTACAAAATCTCTTCATCCGAAGAACTCAAAAAATAATAATAATTATAAATAATTAATATTTTGCTATATAATATACAAAGCTATTGTTAGAGCAGTACTATTATATGGCGCAGAAACCTGGAAACAGACTAAGATCGAAATACAAAAATTAGAAACCTTTCGAAACAAATGTTTAAGATTTATTTTTAAAATTTTCTGGCCTTACGAAGTATTAAATCAAAATCTATTAAGGAAAGCTAAAATAAAAACAATCGAAGATGAAGTTAAAAAACGAAGATGGAGCTGGCTCGGACATATCCTTAGAATGCCCAAAGAAAAAATTTCCTCTGTTGCGCTTACATGGGCCCCTGATGGTAAAAGAACAAGAGGAAGACCCAGACTTACCATCCAGCGCATGTTTTTGGGCGAATTAAAAGAATGTAGAATATCTGGCTGGGAGGAAGCAAGATCTATTGCTAAAGACAGGAGGCGTTGGAGGGATATGCTGGAGGCCTTAAGTGCCCAAGGCACGTAGAGGATAAGTGTGAAGTAAGTAAATATTTTGTGCTTAGAGGAGACTATGAAATTTTTGCAAACCTGAAAAACTGATTGCTTTCAAACTTTGACTTACTGTTGGAAATTTCCTTCTGAAATTACCAAAAAACAACCCCGCCACAGTTAGATACATTTCTCTACCTTTACGGTTTTGAAACCAGCACGGCTAAAAAAACGTGAATATAAAACTATAGGGTTTTATATCCATTTACAATTAACATAGTTTCTAAACCTTAAAAATGTAACTTAATCGGGCATTGGAGCTCTTGGACATTGGATATTGAACATTGCATTCATATAAACAATTTTTTTAATCTGAATAACTACGGTGTACTGAAATTATGGAAAATTTGGAGACAAATTTCTCCGGGAGATAATTTTCCAGTGTCATATAAACGTTGTTTATTCCAATACATGAGAAATTTAGTGGAGGAACAATCTATGAGATATTTTAGTGGAATGAAAATACATCAGGAAACGCTTTACAAAGTCTCTTCATTAAAAAAAACTTTAAAAAAAAAATTTCAACCAAGCAATTAATTAACATTATGTACTTGCAGTAGACCATAAAATTTTTATAATCCTAAAAAACTGAGTGCTTTCAAACTTTAACTTACTGTTCGAATTTTCCTTCGGATATTACGGTAAAAAAATAAAAAAAAACCGACAGCAGTCTGTCATAACCATTATCTGTCACAACCAGCAATATGCCATTAATCATAAAGTTTATGGTTGGGAGCATTTCTCTACCTTTAAGGTCTTATAACCGTTTACTACTGGCACTGTTAAAAAACAGTGAATGTTTCAAATAACGATGGTATATTGAAATTACGAATTGGAAAACAAATTTCTCATGGAAATAATTTTCTTGTGTCATATAAACGTTATTTATTCCAACACATGAGAAATTTGGGGAAGGAACATTCTAAGAGATATTTTAGGGAAATGAAGAAACTTTTTACAAAATCTCTTAATTTAGAGAACTTGAGAAAAAATTAATTATTATTCTGTACTTGCAGCAGACCGTAAGATTTTTAAGCCTAAAAAACTAATGCTTTCAAATTTTGATTCACTGAAAAATTTTCATTCTTGAAATTACGGTAAAAAAAATCCGGCAACAGTCTGCCTGATTAACCATAAAGTTTATGGTTGGAAACATTTCTCTACCTTGTGCGCTTTTGAAGCCATTTACAGCCGGCATGGTAAAAAAAAACTGTAATTACAAAACTGCACGGCTTTGTAACCATTTACAACTAACATAGTTTTTAAACCATAATTAAACTTAATCAGATATTAGAGTTCTGTGGGTGCTGCACCATTTAAGTATGAATGATAGTTTGATTTTCTAATAGTCTAGGGTCACAGATTGAAGAGTGCAGGTTACTAGAAACTCTTCATGTTTTGCAGGAAATAGAAGAAATATTGTGATATCAACGCTGGGTTTCAAACCTCTGTTCAGCCGTTTATAAAATTGACCGATTAATCTTTCCTGCTATATAGTATGCACTCAGCTGCACGGAACAAAATGGCTTTATGATATGGGCCTAGTTGACGCGGATATAGACTAGTTGTTAGACCG